GTAATAAGCAACCTCAGAACCTCACATGTGTTGAACCAATGACACTACTGCATTTCCAAAGAGTATAAGTTTACCAACGTATGATGCTAAGAAAGTACACAATAATGTCTTTAATTCTAGATGAACAGCAGCTTAAATCATAACCTGGCATATTTTAACTTGTTCTTGTACTCAAGGCAACAGCCATTAAAATTCAATGACCTGTGAATATGTTTCATATAACAAAGCCTGCTCTGCCCCATCTAAAAAGAGAGTAATAATTCCAATACCAAAAATCCAAATCTGAAATTCAATCTCCATGTCCTGGAAATGTGGTGGTGTGCTGGGGAGACACAATGAATGAGTCTTTAAGGAACCTGCTGTGTCAGAGAAGAGATTTGAGCCAAAGATTATGATACAGTACAGCCCTGCAACAGCAGAAGTATGTGCACACTCACACATAAACATGAAAAACATCTCAAATATGACATCATGAGCAACCTATCGAAGAATACAAGTGGACAATAAATCAAATTATTGCTTGCCCAGCATATCAGTATGTATTAAAAGACTAATCACATCCACAGTGGAAAGTGTGAGGAAATGGTGGCCGTGTACAATTAGGTTACATTATTGTAAAACAACCTGAAAAAGTTGGGCATTTAAAATTACAAATTCAGCCAGGGATTTAGCTCAGTGGTACCACCACCTGCCTCACAAGCGCAAGGTCCTGAGTTCGATCCCCAGTACCAAAACAATAAATAAATGAATAAATAAATAACAAATACAGCTGGGTATGGTCACACTATAATCCCAGCACTTAGGAGGCTGAGACAGGAGGACTGATGTGAGTTTCAGGCCAGCCTGGGTTACATAGAGAATTCAAGGTTATTTTGAACTGCACCGTGAGACCCTATCTCAAAACATAAAATAAAATAAAACTGCAAATTCTTTTATCTAGAAACCTTATTGGTTTCAGAAACTGAGTAAACTACACTAAAGAAAAGAAATTTTTAAGTTCAAGTTCAAGGAAATGGAAAATTCTGATTTAATAATAGGAATTTCAGATTGTTACAAAATATCATTAGATTCATTCATAGGAAAATGGATGCATATTGAGGACATACTCAAGTGAAATAAATAAGTCACACATGTGTATATACCGAATAGTTTACTTTGCTGTGAAAAACTATAATCATACATAAGATCCTAATGGTATAACTGACAATGTCAAATAGGAAGAAAAGGGTTTAAGGTGTAGGGGAAGTACGAAGAGTTAAAGGAAAGGAAATAAGGGAAAAGAAAAAAATATGAGAAAATGAAAAACTGGAAATAAAGTATTTGTAAATAGGGAAGGGAGGAGGGACTGAAGGGAGGGCAGGGGTAAGGGGAAAAAATAAGAACCAAGACCTGTCATGTAAAGGTACAAGATCCCAATGATGAATGTAACTGTACTGTTCACCTAAAATGTACCAATAAACTCAATGAGAAAAAAAAATATATCCAAGGGGAGGGCCGGGGATTCAGCTCAGTGGTGGGGCTGCCTGCCTTGCAAGTGCAAGGTCCCGAGATCGATCTCTGGTACCAAAAAAAAAAAAAAAAAAAAAAAAAAAAAAATTTTCCCAAAATATCAAAGGCGGGAGAACGTCTAGTAGAAGCTGGATATTCATCTCAACATTCAGAGTGTACGGAAGTCTTACATACATTATTTCACTGCCTCCCTCCAGAATTCAAAGGTGTCCATGTCCACTGGCACGATTCAGAGCCAGCACTTAACCCAAAACTCCTCATCACAGATCACTGGCACCTGCTAGAAAGATCAGTGTAGATTTGCAAGGTTAAGTTTCAATCTCTCGTTCACTCAGCAGAAAAGTACTAAATATCTCAAGGTGGACCTAAAGATAGGAAGAAAGAGAAGTTAGATTTCCTATTCTTAAGGAAAGATAATTGAGACTGGCATGAAAAAAAATTGCAATAGGATCTGACTGTGTTCTGAGACAGTCAAAAGGAATAATACTAAACTTGGCAGGAGAGAGGAGTCAATTCTTCACTGAAAATTCAAAGCCAATTTTCCAACACATTCAAACAAATATGTTTTTGTTCTGTTGTTTTTTTCCAGAAGAATGATGGAGAGAGGAAACGGTCTAAGAAAGGAAAACAATGGTTGGTCATGAATTTGAGTTTAAAAAAAAAAAAAAACAACAAGTAGAAAGTAGGTAAGAAGATCCACTCCAAAAAGAGGAAGCAGAATAAATAGACCCATCAAGACCCGAAACAACATGGTCAAGTCAAAGAAACGCAGCCAGGTCACCGACTAACAAGACCTTCAACTACCCCAGTCTCTACACCCCACCTCTCAGCTGCCCCAGATGCTGCGAAACCGGACAAAGAAAACATCATGTCTCCTGCTCTCTGGAATTACATTTCCCAGCGACACTGATTCCTCCCTCCAAACTGGGAGGTGGAAAAGGACGGGGAAGTATCTCTTAGCAGTCAGAAGTAGCAGTGGAATAGTGGCTACCCTGCAGTAACTCCAACAGCGACACTACTGACCACCTCACCCAGCCTCTGTCTCCTTCGTCACACTTACTACCACCTGACATTACACTGTCACTTCATTCTTTCCCTTGTGTGCTGCCTGTGTCCCTCATTAGAATCTGTGCTCCAGAAGGCCAACAGCTTTGTCTGTTTTCCTTCCCACTGTGTCTTGAACAGTTCCTGGCACAAGGCAGGCACTTCAAAAATATCTGCTGAATGAATGACTACTTATTTATCTTAATATATAACTGATGGTTATTTTTAAAAGTAAAACTCAATTCAAGACAACATTTCACTTTTTTAAGGGCTGGGGATTTAGCTCAGTGGTTCCGCTGCCTGCCTCACAAACACAAGGTCCCAGTTCAAACCCCAGTACAAAAAGAAAAAAACTCTGGTAGGAAGAAAAAAGTGACTGATGCTGTTTTAAAAATAACACATGACATCTATTAGGTCATCATTTTAAAAAATTATATCACTGATGATAGTTAATTCACAGAAGTCAGCCCTTGTCAATACTGTATGTTATATAAATGGTGATAGTCCATGAAGGTAACACGTGATGAAATCTGTTTACCGAACTAGCCATTTCACTTTAGGGTTCTTCTGAGCCACCTACCACTATCTTCAAAATCACAGGTTTCAGGCTGTTTGTGTCACAGATGGAATGGTCATTTTCTGGCATTTTCAGCTAAAAACAGATACAGGTAAAAGTAACAAAAGCTGAGCCATGCCATTACTGTCCAAATTAAAGTTTTGACACAAATAGTAGCTCAGAACTCAAGAAGTGACTCTACAAGTTCAAATACTATGAGAAGAATTACTGTTCAATGTGTCTATCTCAAGACTAATAAAGATTCAAATATGACCTAACCGCTACCTTGCCAAATGCATTTCTCAATTAGAAATGCCACATAAAATGGCACGATGGATCTTTTCCAACCCTGTTCATATGAGAATTACAAAAAGAAGTCTTTCCATCCCTGGAGGGATAAATTTATTTTTCTCAGCCAAGTGTTAACAGCAATAAATAGAGGATTTTACATGTAATCCTTGAAAGGAGATAGGCAGAAATTGCCAACCATACCATGGCTTAGCATTTGATTTAATCCCACTAGTATTAACAGAGCAAATTAAAAGGTGCAATTTTTTAAAATATGAGGTCAAAGCAAAATACTATCCTTGACATTTTAAAGGAAATTTCTCAGAACCACATATACAAACAAACTTTTTTTTCCAGTGTGGTCTGTAGAAAAGACTAAATACACACTTTTTCAATCAGTACTGCTATTTCTTAAAAATAAAATGTATATAGTACTTCTTCAAAGTCAACTGATAAGCTCCGTCCTTTCTAACTACATATAAATGAACATTACACAAGTAAAACATGAACTCCTTCATGGTTAGTAGCAGCACTATGAATGACTACATGGCAAGATTCTTTTGGTTTGCATTAACCACGTATGAGAGGCCCAGCAACTGAGAGCTGCATTCTCTTTCTAAAGTTCCATCAGTACCTAGTCAGGGAGACCTACTTCTCGCTAAGTATTTCCTAGAGAAGGAATTCAAGACTTGGTCAAAGAGAACTTATATTATTTTAAGCTAGAATAGCCAGTTTGTGATTATGTATTACCATGCTATCAACATCATAGATTAAGAAAATATATCACCTTTAGAAAAATGGATCCCTTTACCCAACCACTATACTCTAAAAAGAAAGGCTTTTTTCCACATATAAAATCGAAGTAGAAATATATAAGGCATCAACTGATCACAGAAAAATGAGAGCTTTAAAATCAACAGAAAATGCATCTCACATAATCCAGTTAATGTACCTGATAAAATGCAATCAGGGACATTAATAAGACCACTTGAGAAAAAAAAGATACAAATAAAAAATAAAACATCTTTACATAAAGGGTCAAAGTTTCCAATATCCCAATTTGTTTTCATCCATCAGTAACATTCTGGTCTGTAGGTCAAACAGCTCACTGTCACACATTGCCATGGACATCCTCAGGTCCTGACCTTGAAAAGAGGGACCTGTTTTTACAAGTCAGTAACAGAGAATCTAGGCAGTTGCACTACCTCTAAATATGCTCCTTTTTTATTACACACTCCATAAATCAAAAAATAAAACCTTTCATAAGCCTACCAGCCAAATATAACCACTCTTCACATTTCAATCTATTAAAAATGGTCACTTGCTAACACTTCTTTTAAGACATTCTCCTGGCCCCCATCTTCCCCTTTTTCCCGACTAAACATTTCAGTGTTGAATTATCCCGATAGCCATGAAAAGCATCACCAAAAAACACTGTGTGAAGAAACCGAGCAGAGCAAGTTAGGGAAGAATCGCTCCTGCACGCTGATGGGAGGCACAACGCTCCCTTACAGGTTGGGCCTGGCGCACCTGCTACAGCTGCCGCTGGCCAGGTGTGTGGGTACCTGTTTCCAGGGCCAGTGCCTCTGCAAACATCACTTACTGTGCCCGGCATGTGACTTCTCTCATTCTTCCCATTCTGAGAGCTGCCATTTTTTAGTTTCTTTTTCTTTTTAGCCATTTCTTTGTGCTCTTTCTGTTTGTTCTGCACTTCAATGAGGACAGAAATAAAGCTGTTTTTTACTTCCTTTTCAAACTCCAGTTCATCTCGCAGGGCCAACTGCTGTACCAGTTCCTCGGAGTACTCCTTAATGGCAGACTCTATTTCTTCCAGGAGCTCATTTAACTCAGATACAGACAGCCTTTTCACCCCTGTGATCAAAAACAGTACAGCGGACACTAAGACAAAAGTGTTTCAAAGCAGCACAACAGTGTGTTTTACACCAAAAAGCAAAAACGATACTCTAAGCAATGAAACTGTTCATGATCTTCTCAAACACCTCACATTCCTGGGGAGAATAAAGGTTAGTGGGTAATGTCACTTCTCAGCCGGCTCGGGTGAAAAGTATAACAAAACCTTTCACTTGCATAAATCAAGCACCCCGAGTAGTATTATTCCAGTCAAGACTGTGAAAGCTCAGACATGGAAAATAATAAGCACAAAAACTGAAGGACTGTACAGAAACTACCTGCTGAGAAGAAATGGTAAGCAATTTCACAGGATTCCAGGACACTCCTGGAGAGAGAAGGAGTTGAACTGCAAGAATTAAACTATATACACATTTAATCACACATGCCTCAATTGGTGGAAGTGGCTGACAAATGGGAAGATGGAAAGGAACAATATTCCCTGCAACCCCACCCTCCCTCGTGTGAGAGACAGGACACTCTCAAAGATCTAATCCCTGGTACCTCAGAAGTGACTCAAAGATAAGAGTGTTTACAGTGTAATTATGTTAAAACAAGGACATTAGGGTGGCTTCTAATCTGGTGTGACTGTTGTCCTTATAAAATCAAGAGACCAAGATGCAGGATACACACAGGAAGACCAGAGGAAAACAGAGAGAGGAGAGAGCCATCCACAAGCCAAAGAGAGGCCTTGCCAGAAACCAAATACGCTAGCACCTTGTTCTCAGGCTCCTGGCCTCAGAATTGTGAGAATATGAATTCCATGGTGTAAGCCATTCAGTCCGTGATACTTATGGCAGCCCTAGAAAACTAAGAGGAAGTTTTTGTATCTTAGCAGATATCAGGATTATATTTTGGAAACAAGACTCTAACAACACTATGTATCTATAGCAGCATGGTAGAAAAAGACCACTGGAAAGAATTTCCCTATGTTAAAGGAAGTCACACAACCAGAAGGCAATCTCTGGTCATCCCACAATGTAAAACCAGGTAACAATGTGAGTTAAGCAGATAGGGACTCCATTACTGTCCATTCAAAGAGGGAACCAGTCATATGGCAAAGGTTTTAGATGCCCAGGTACCAGTCTCAGAATATTCACACCCTGGTTGTAGCTATTTGGAAACTTTTCATGGTAATCAAGTATATGGTTTTTACAGGTCACGATTCAAACATCTAATTCAAACAGAATTTTGATTCCCAAAATTCATCTCTACACCAAAGACAACTATTTGTAAGGCAGGAATTACTGATTACTTATTGTTTTGTTATGGGCTAAATTATGTCTCCCAAAAAATTCATATGTTGAAGCCATAACTTCCAGTACAGTGGTACCCTAGCGTTCAGTTAACTGGTACTGGGAGGCATGAATATACCAAAATCAAGCACCAAACTGTTTTGGCTGGAAAGGGGAGCGGGCCATGAGGCAACAGATGCTGAAAAGTTCTAACTTGAACACTGGGTACCAAACAAACAACGGGTACCAGGACAAAATTTTTATGTAAAAATGAGTCAAGTACCAAATGCAATGAGTCTCAAAACAGTCAAGTACCAAGGTATGACTGTACCTCAGAATGGAATGCTACTTGGAGACAGGATGCTTAGAAAGGGAATTAATTTAAAACAGAGTATTAGACCAGCACCTCATGCAAAAGGACTGGTGTTCCTACAGGAAGAGGAAATTTGGAGAAAGGCACATGTAGAAGGAAGACCATGTGAAGGCACAGGGAGAAGACGGCCATCTACAAGCCAAGGGGAAAGGCCTCAGAAGAAACCAAGCCTGTTGATGGCTGAATCATGGGCTTTGAGACCACAGAACTTGGAGGAAATGGATGTCACCTATTTAAGTCACTCATCTGCAGCAAAGGCCCCAGCAAGCTAGCACAGGGTTAAACACAACACAGTCCTCAGGTCCAGAGCACTGCAGTACGAGCCAGTCAGCGAAGGGTGTACAGCCCAGCCTGTGAGCAGCTTTCTGAAGATGGTTGCATCACATGTCTAAAATGGAGAAAAAGCACAAGAGCACTGATACAAAGATGGTCTCTTACTCTCTTCATAGCTGCTCATACTGGACCTCTTAAGAGTTTGGATCTCCTGGGACAGCATTGAGAGCCGATCTGACTGTGTAAGGGTTTCATCATCTTCTGGGTCTGGTGATTCCTGCATCATTTCTTCAATTTCTTCAATAACCTTCCAAAATACACACAGTAGTGTTAATCAAACACAGAAGGAAAAATGACTTGTCCATACCACAGTGCTCACCTGAAGTGCCCAGGGGAGAAGTGCACTGAATTCTCATTACCAACCATGTGAAGGAGTGAATGCTTTGAATAATCAAAAGTTTGATTTTTAAGAGTAAACATGGCTCTTATCATAGAAAATGTGCAACACACTAAAAACAAAATTAAACACAATATACTTTGATATGTCTACCATGACCCAGTCAGTAGGCGATACCAGACATGGTGATGTCTGAGAAATTGTGGTACAAACACTTAGTTTTTTCTAGACATGCCAGGATCAGGTCATGAATGTACAGTCAAATGAAGGCAAACAGAAGAAAGTGTACCATATATCGTATGCATGGAGTTAATCTAAAGTTATTTAATCAAAGCTCTGACATAAAACTTGGAAAATACAAAAGCATAAAAACATATACATAGGACAAGAGACTACCTTACTGACAGCAAAATTTTCCTTTAACAGCAGAAAAAGAATTTCATATAGCAATTCAATCAAAGACAAAGGAACATTTTAAAATTACTTAACGCAGAGAATGCGAAAGAAGAAAGAAACCTGCAAGAAGTAAGAAAATCTCAGAAACACATCTGCCTTTTAAGCAATGATCTACTGCACAAACATTGTGGCTCAAACTTTACAACTGCATCCTGACCTGTTTCACAGTCTGAAAGTGGAAGAAAAAAAAAAAATGGAACTCAACAAAACTTTAAAGAAAATCCAGAAAAAGGTACTAAATATTTTGAAAAACAGTTTCATGGATTAAGAAAAAAACTATTAAGGAAAATTAAATGAAAGTGTACAATATTATATTAAAACACTTTGTGAATACGCAAGCTTAAGGGATGGCACTTCTACTGAGGAAAAAACAAAATTACATCTGAAGGCGGTGGGATTATGCTAATTAGAAAAAAATTTCCCAAAACAAGCATTCTAAACAGGACCATGAGACATTAAAGGAGGATGCAAAATCTGTTCCTCTAAATCTGAGAAACACGGATAACTTCTGGTATTAGGCAGATTTCTAGGGGCTCAATGGTGAATACCTACGGTCACATCTTTGGAGTCATGTTCTAACCCACAGCAGCTCTCTAACCCACTACTACTTTGCTTTTTTAAGCACCACACTCTTTCCCAACCTAAAATAATCCAACCAAAAATATGACAAAAAGCATCAAAATGATACATATTGACGTACATTTTTAATGTCCTCCTCCCAACATTGCCATAATGCATCTGTACTGACCTCATCTTTCTAGCCTAAAAATAGAGTGTGGTAGAATTCATAGTCCCAGTAGCTAGGAACATTTTCTTCTAGGAAGAAGTTCTGGCCTCACATTTTGACAATATAACAGAGGTGGGAGGGGTACTCAGAAAACAAGAAAGCTGATTCAACTGGTTTCCAATGAAAACAGGGTTGATATTATTAGAGCATCCACAGGAATAAGGCTCACTTCTCTCTGGGGCACATAACAGGTATATCTAATACATGCCAGTGTTTCTTACCCAGACTTTGAAATAAATACAGATATATTTCTATACTCATGTATTACACTTTGCCCACGTTTGAATAAATCTAAAGCAAGTAGGAAATTCACAGTATTTTTGTGATTTTGTTTTAAGAAATAAGCCTCCCTCAGTAACTTTTGTGTGTGTGTGTGTGTGTGTGGTACCAGGGATCAAACTCAGGACTTTGCACTTGCGAGGCAGGCGGCAGGACCACAGAGCTAAATCCTTGGCCCAGTAACTTTTACTCTTTAGTAACACCTAGATTAGTAATTGTTAACCCAATTAACAAAACTTTACCTACAGACAACATATACCTCATCTTTTTTTCCAGCGGAGGAGTTAAATGAAAGCCTATATATCCACACAAGCCAAGGAAAATAAGTAAATTCTGCCATATCAATAGCACTGCTTTTCAGCTCCACATGCTGCCCTCCTTGTGCTGACGAGCATCTTGGTACCTGGTCTGCTGTGAAGAGGGGCTCCTCGTTAACACAAGAGACAATGATTGAGTGCATATCCAACTGTTCCCTCAGCTCCTCGTCGTCTGATGTGTCAAAGAGCAAACCATCACTTACCTAAAAGCAAAAATACCCCACGGTCAAAAGAAGGACACTCTGATCAAAACAAAGTCAATGTCTCTGGGGAAGAGAGAAGGCAGTGGAAAGCATGTGTGGAGAGCTCTTCCTTGAAAGGGAAAAGTTATCGGTCTCTCTGGACCGGGAGTGTAGTACTTTACATATTCATCCCAAGCAGAAAGAACAGGATGGAACAAATACAAAAGTGCTAAGGTATTTTTACATCGCTATGGCCTGAAACAGACATACACTTAGCTAATTGTTTTTCCGCAGAAGAAATAGCTATACGAACACTTTACAAAAGCTGACAAATTGTTGAAAACAAAAGACAGTATTCAGGAAAAAGCAGGAATTAGAGCAAAGAGAAGGCAGAATATGGGCAGGCTTGGCAGTTAGTTAAGAATCTGCAGCAAAACTGGTGTTTAAAAGGATACAGAAAACAGGTGACTTATTGGCAAACTAACTTCTAACATTCACAGTAACAGGAAAGCAATTAACAACCTGGCAGACAGGACCCATCCAGAAGGGTCTCACTTGGCCCTCCCAGTGGAACATCTCTTCTTCCCAAAGAATAGTATCTCTAGGTTCTAAAAACATCTCCAACCCTAACTGTGCTGGAATGTCTCCAACCACCTCACCCACATTCTCTCCCACGCCCCATGCCCAGGAAACTGACCCAGTGGACCACATCAAAGGATGCCCTTGACTTCTGGCTTCCAGCCGAGTTACACAGCACTGGCAGGCACTGGGAGACTGCAAGGTGAGAAGGTGAGGGCTGGGCACTTGTTCTGCTGTCCTCCTCCCTGCCAGACTGCCATTTGTCGACTCTGGCTCTCTGCCAAAGGCCACAGTTCTTGCCAAGCAGACCTATCCCCAGAGCTAATCTCTCTAGGTTCTAAAAACTTCTCCTTCTCCCTACCTATTCATGTCCAAGGCTGCTAGAATGCTACAGGCTGTTGCTATCCCTGGAGCATTGTGCTATATGCATAGCTGATTTCCCTAACCTTGCCTGTGCCAACATAAACAGTCCCTGTCCTAATGCTTAGAATTTAGTACTAGTACTAATTATAAAAGCCTGACCTGGATAAACTTAGCATAGTGGACAAGTGAGCATCAAGCTGTCATCTATCTATCTGTCATGACGTGACAAACAGAAACTGAAATAAGAACTCTATCCCTCAGGAAAGATTAATACACATTGAGTTTCTACAGAACAAATGAGCAACAAGGACTGTGTAAGAAGAAACTGTGTCATTCCATTTCACACTATATAATTAGAATAATGTATTATATTACAGGTTAAGCAAGCTTAATCTGAAAATTTTAAAGCTCAAACTTTTTGAGCATCGATGTGATGACACAAGTGGAAAGTTCCACACCTGACCTCATGTGACAGGTCGCACTCAAAGCACGGCTGCATTAAAAATACTGCATAAACTACCATCAGGCTAGGTAATAAGGTGTATACGAAACATAAATTCTATGTTTACACTTGAGTTCCATCCTCAAGATAAATTCAAATATTTCAAAATCCAAAAACACTCAGAATTTAAAATACTTCCAGAGCATTTCTAATAAGGACTATTCAACCTGTATATAAATATAATATTATATTTAACATAATTAAAGTACTAAATACTTATCTGGGAAAAGTATTTATTGGTACCAAGGATGTAGCTAGAATTGAGGACCCAATGGAATGGTCACAGGTCCCTACCACCTCCCAAGTTTCCGATACACCAGTGTGTGAAGTTTAAGAGTGAACAGGAGTGTAAGAAATCTGCACCTGAGAAGAAAAGGGAAAGAAGCACTGGCCTGCTGGAAAATGAAAAGGAAGAAGACACAGGCACGAATATGAAAGATGGGTGAAGGGAATTCTTATAATGACAGAGGAAGTAAACATCCTAGAATCATGGCTGTGAAAATTAAACTAGAGAGTAACTAGATCTGATCACAACTGGATGTATGAGGCATCAAGAAAGGCACAGGAAGAAAGAGAAGACAGATTGACAGTAAACCTAGTATATTCCATGTACTACAATGAATGATATGGCTCTTGAGGCTGGATTGGTGAGCTAATTATTAAACAAACAAACCACCAAAAAAAAAAAGGCAGTTATCATTACCCTAGGAAAAAAACAAAAATTGGAATAGAAGTAAATAATAATATATCAAAATGAGTTAACCACACATATTTAAATAGTAGAAATGATGAAGATCAATTTCACCAAGAATTTTGATGCGATTACATTGGGAAGATAGAGAGATTCTGTGTGAAGGTGAGAGAGTTAAGAGGCTAGAGAACTGCAGACAGTTCTTCACCTGGTGGGTCAATGGATAAAGTCTAAAATTAAAAAATAAAAGTAAAATAAGCAGGTGATCTGCGAGAAGCAGCAGCTGAAGCAGTTAAGTGGCTGCCTGCTGTAACAAAAAATCGAGGACAAAGTTAGTGGGACAGAGGCTGCCTGTTCATCTAAAGCCTATGGTTCTAGGCTGCGTTTTTTAATTACGACGGTTTTTTCTTTAATAGTAATAAGAAAGGTCAAGAGACTGGGCTCACAGTGGAATACTGGATTTCAAGCAGTGAAGCTGAAGAAAGTGCCATCACGTGACAAGGGTACGTGGACGGCTGCAGGTGGAACTAACAACTTTGGTCACCGGTCCCCACACTTCAATCCCATCTGCTACCACTTTTCAGAGTTGTAGCTGGAGCAACATGGTTTCTTCTTTTTCCCCTTCTGGCTTATAAATAAAAAGCTTTAACTCTTAAAGAAGACATTTCATAAAGTCTCTCGCGTAAAAGTGGTGTGTACAAAAGGAGGAAGATGTACACAAGATGTTTCCCGGCAAAATGAAGTAGAAGCATATGCTTAGAATAAGTCCAAAACGTACTGGTAATACCAGCTAAACTATCAGAATAAATTTCCATGACAAAAGAAATGATCACCCTGGCAGAGAGGACGCCAAGCCCATCCCCACAGAGACGGTATATGCCATGAGCCAGAATCCCTCTCAGGCTTTGCAAACTAACCATGGCTGTTGTGGGGATCATCATCCACTCTCCCATTAGGCAAAAATGCCCTCTCTGTGCCAAGCATTCCCATCACTCCTTCCTACGCCAGGCTTAGATACAGAGCTGGTGATACTGTTTCCCTGCGTGAAACTGCAGATGTATCAGGTGGAAAACACGTACTCATGCAAGAATCTGGAATGTGCTAGGCTGCTTACTCTAGAAAAGACCCACAAATTTAGAAAAGTGCATCTTAACTTCGATGAATGAAAGAAAACAAAGGCCGGGATTTAACTCAGTGGTTCCACTGCAAGTCTACAAGGAAGAGCAAGGACCCGAGTTCAACCCCCGGTACCAAAAACAAAAACAAAAACAAAAAAACTGGACCAGGGATTTAGTTCAGTGGTTCCACCACCTGCTTCAAAAGCAAAAGGACCTGAGTTCAATCCCCAGCACCAAAAAACAAAACAAAACAAAACAATTAATTGTAGCAAACTGGTTTTCAAGGTTTATCTCATCTTAATGCAAAAAATAATAAACCTATTGTCAAGAAAAAAATTTCCTCCAGACCCCGCTGTCTAGCTGTAATAATCTAAAGAACACTTCCAAAAGGTAAACTATACATAGCTCAGTCACAGAAAGAACAGAGCACCCACTTAAAATGGTAAATAATGTACCTTTCTCGGGTTAAAAAATATTTTTAAGCTTACACCACCAACAGTGTGACATGGTTGCTTCTTACATAAACGTTGTTGCCCATTAATTCCTCTTCAGGAATAGTCTGATTTCAGCTCTGTTCATCACCAGAACAGTCACTTCATGATAGACGGATGGTTGTCTGACTGAATGAATGACTGATAAGATAGATGAATTTATTTGTTTGCTTTCATTTGCTGAGTTATTCCAGGGGAAGCTTTCACCCTCAGAACAGTGTAAATTAAGTCTTTACTAAACACTACGTTGGCAGCACCATTACTCCAGCATTGAGCAAAACATTCGAACAGCAGCTCCACTTCCCAAGATGCAAACGAAGAACGATACCAGACTCACATTTTATTCAATGAAATTGGTTTATGGAGCCCATTCGTGCGGCTAATGTGCATCTCTATCAAACTATAAAAGGAACTTCTCTATGCTTTTTTTAAATAAGTCAAACAAAAAAAAATATTCATGGGCCGGCTACTGTGGATTTAGCTCTATTTTAAATAATACAGGAAATACTAAAGAAAAAAAGACAACCTTCCACATGACCTGTGATTTTACAGTCACGATGATGAAGTTATCACGCACGCAACATCACTCAGCAAGCACATGTCTCAGCACCCGCCCTCTGCCACGTACCTCAGCGGTTACTAAAAAGACAAATACAAAGCTATCAGCTGGGAAGTCACAGGCTAACGACAAACCCAGAAAAACAGAATTCATTAAAAAACACAGTCACGACTTTACAGAAACATGAACAAATGGCTGTGGGACCCAGCACCTGTGAGGCCACAGGGCTACATTCTCTGGGACAGATGACAAGTCCTTTAAAAGTTCACCTTCCCACTGGTGTTATCGATTTCCACGCAGAGGAGTGGAAGGATTTAGGCTGTGGCTAAGGGACCATCTGTCTTGGATGCTGTAGGTGGGGATCTCCCCCCGCCAGGCGGGGCTGGATTAAATGTCCTTTAAAGTCCCTTCCAACTCCAAAATTGTATAATTCCATGAGATCAGCTAAGTAATAAGGCTAAAACAGTAATAGGAAGCTTCAGAAAGGGACGGGAACTTAAATGAAGCCAAAAGCAAGGACCTAAATAAACAGAAGAGAGAGCATAACATATTTTGTTTTGTTCTTTTCCATTAAATGTGCGCCAGGTTGATCTGAAAGGCTTTACATGAGATTAAAGACAGGAACACACAGTAAGACTCCATATACCTTAATACTGGGAAACAGTCAGTATTCACTAAAAAACAAAAGCAGCAGGCTCTTCTGGGTCACATATTTAAGAAAATCATTTTCTTTAAACATTAACAATGCTATTTATAATTCTGACAGCTGCACTGCCTTACACTCTCAGTTATCACACCCTTACTTACATCTGATGAACTATACAGCAGGCCAGACATGACATGAGCTTACATCGTTATGTGATAAGGAGTTTAAACAGCCTGGCCCTAAATTTTACTTAATTTGGCTGTTTTACATCAGCTTTCAACAAATTTAGCACTACGATTTCCACTTGGAGCAATTCTCTCTCCTTTTCTGGCCCCCTGGGCATCCCATCTCCTGTCCCACACTTTCTGACCCAGGTATCTTTACTTGACAATACCTGGGTACACACAGGAACCTCAAGCTGGATAAGTCAGCCATGCACACATTAAAAAGCCAAGAACTGAAATGTCTTTTTTTTTTTTTTTTTTTTTTAG